CCCCAACTATCAGGGTATGCGCATTGCCCAAGATATCCCTCAGTCGTGCTAGCAAATCCGGGGTTACTTGAAGACGAAACTCCAAGCATGGTCGGAGGAGTCAACGACCAAGGATCATGAGTTAGAGGTATTTGAGAGCTTGAGAAGCTTCCATTCGTCGGCCAAGCGTAGCGAGGGCCCGCGTCATGGGCGGCATCGTCAGAGTAAGCAAGATTATCCATGCCGAGTGCGGTCGGGGATGAGGTTGGGTGATAACAATCAGATCTATATAGCTCCGCTACGGGCGGGCTGGCAGAGAGCCCACACCCAGGATTGGTAGTGCATGTCGCCTGCATTGCGAGCTTCTTTCAATCTTCTGTGATGTGCGTAAGCGCTAGGTCTGTTTGTATTCATTAAGGTATGCATGGAAGCACAATACAAGGTAGCCGCGGCTGACCGCGGAGGGTGTTCAATCAGCCTCCAGCTGGCGATGAGTCGTTGCGCCGTCTTGCGGGTCGGGTCGGAATCCAGCGGGAGATCTGATAGCGGGGCTTCGGAACCATGCTGGCTCAATCATTGAGCTTGTATATGCACGCTTGTGGACTCTATCGGCGCTCAACATGTCGCACTAGACGTTTGCGGCTTATTGAGCTTAGGACCGAACACCGAACCCTGGCACTCTGTAGATTCGTGCTGTACGAAAGAGTCGTAATTGAAGTGCTTCTCTGGTAAGGATCATCGTGCGCGGAATTGAGGCGGAATCCTGAGCGCATCGAGCAGGTGGTACTGCGCAAGTCGTGGCATAAAACAACTCGTGCTCGTGAGAGATCAGGCGGCGTGTGCTCTGCGGCAATTGCCGACTCCACGTTATCGCGCCGAATTCGGCACTCACACAGGTACACTCGACCACCATCACGTCTGTAATCCAAACGGTAAACAGATGTTGGGGATACTACATCATCTGCTTATGCACATACCAGCCATCGTGCTTGAACCTCTTGATGTCGGGTGTGACCGTGCCTTCTAGCTCTGACGCTCCCGACTCTCGCCGCGAGCCGCCAAGGTCAGCGATCCAATGGCTACTGCACCTGTCCAGTGGCCGCCCTCGCGAAGTCCAAGTCTGACACGACGACGCTCTTCTAGCGATGCGACCATACGTTACTGGTCAGACGCTGCCAAACATAGGCTGAACTCATATGCCGGTCCGCTGACTCGCGAGGCGGCCTCTCAAGCTCAAAGCACCATCGATGACGAGCTTGAGGCCTTGAGAACTATTGCTGCGGACTTCAGATCACAAAGGAATGCCCTATCGAGCGTCGGTGCTCTGCCCGCCGAGATACTCTCCAGGATCTTCGCCCTGCACGCGCTTCAACAGCCGCCAGGCGAGCCTCTTTGGGAGAATGACGACTCGGAAGACCCACCTTCCCTCTCTCAGATGGAGCTGGGATGGATCACCGTTACTCACGTGTGTCGTCGCTGGAGAAATGTCGCTCTGACCGATCCAAGTCTCTGGACTCGAATCTCATTTCGATTGGGAGAGCACTGGGTCGACGAGATGTTTTCCCGCGCCGGCTCTGCCCCCATCATCTACGAGCGTCTATACGATCACAAGAGCACCCTTTCCTCTGCAGAGCGAGAGAGCTCCATGCTCTCAACCAACCTCTCTCGCGTCAAGACTTTGATACTACGCGACGACAAATACACCGGGTTCATGGTACCGATGATACACGAAGTCCTCACGGTACCCGCTCCTCACCTCCTGCATCTCGACCTATCGTGTGCACCCGCGTCCCCACTCTCCCTTTCACCCGCATTCCTCCGAGAGAACGCTGCTCGATTGGTGCACGTGCGCCTGCACAATGTTGCTCTACCGTGCGGGCCATGGCGTTGGGACTGTCTGCGAGTTCTGAAGATCAATGCAGTCACACGCTTCAAGCCCGAGCCCGTCGACGTCCCCGCAGAAGCGCATCTGGCGTTCGACTTCCCCTCCGAGAAGATCCTATTCTCTGCCCTAGCTTCTATGCCTTTACTCGAGAGGCTAGAGCTCCTCGAGTGTCTTCCCCAAAGACACGCCTCCCCGGATGAGCCCGCCCCGAGCCCGCCCTTGCGTCTCCCACTCTTGCGATCCATCTACCTCTCCGGATCGGCATCAGAGTGCGTCAACTTCATCGAGGCTACCGAGACGCCTGCTTTGCGTTCAGTCGGCGTGGACGTGCGACCCGAGATCAACCGAGAGGCCGATCCACTTCCGGATATCCAAGCCCTCATGACCTACGTATCATCGCACCTCGAGCGCGCTCAGGATCCCTTGCGTCGCCTCTCAGCGCAAGTGTCGTCCATCTCGCGGTTTCTCGAGATTCGGGGGTGGCAGTCGGATTTGAGCCTTCCTGAAGAAGAGCCGCCGCTGTTCTTGAGCATATCGTTTCCCCTACGAGGGTTCAGCACCGCAGAAACACAGAGACAGCAACTCGACATCTTTCGCTCCCTGCCTGTCGCATCTGTTCAGACTTTGCAACTCGAGGCGCCGCAACTGAGTTGGGGCATCGATCAATGGAGAGAACTCAGCCGCATGTTCACGTCCACCGACGATGTCCGCATCGTACTCTCTTCCATGTCCAGTGCCACTTTTGTCGATACACTACGTGACGAGCCGAGTACAGACGAAACCCCGCGCGCAGTATTCCCATCACTATTCACTCTCGAGCTAGAGGGCATGCACCTCCAGCTCCCTCACGAATACGGGCTCAACCGGTCCAGCTCGAGGCTCAGCGACAAGCTGCAGCAAGCGCTCAAACAGCGCAAGGCGGCGGGGCTGGGACCTCGTGTTCTCCGTCTGCGGAAGTGCACCGGTATCGACAATCACACGGTGGCCAGACTGAAGGAGATTGTTCCGGTCCTTGATTGGGATCGGTTCAAAGAGCCGCATGCGGAGGTGATGGACTTCTGGGTGGGTCATTCGGCATGATCTCGTTCAAAAGCGCTCTACTGACTGTCACAGCCCCTCCGGGGCACTTCTGGGGCTCTAACTAACGAGATTATATGAACGAATGTTCTGGCCTATAACATTTACTTCTTGCGGACCCCTTCTGGACCCGCTATGACGCGATCGTCACGACGTTGAAGCATGCATTTGTATCGATGAGAGTGAATAACGCGAAGGATGCTGGCACCACGCCGAACTACATCTCTGCCATCATGCGGATGATGGTGTGCTCCCCAAGCTCTTCGCGAGCTGAGCAACCGCAGTGGTAGTACCAGGGCATAGCAGCATTTCCAAAGATATAACGTTCTCCCTCGCAGCGCCGTGTTATTCCCAGTCTTCCACAACAATGTATATGTCGTCTGTGTATCAAATAGATTGAGATCATAATTGACCAGAAATAAGGATCGGGGATCGGGGATCGGCCGATGCATAGACAGGCAAGATGAAAGTGCCGTATTGTCACAAGCATCGAGCAGTGGGGATCGGCACGATGTGTACAGCAATGAGCTTATACCACACGGCAATATAAGTAATACCAGTCCATTCACATCGATGAACGGACGGTGAAGCAGCGCTAGCAGATGAGAGCGGAATGACAAGGAAATGATTAGCGAAGTGAGACAAAAGCTAGGGCGCATCCTGACTGACCGCGATAATCCAGAGACGGAACGGGCTCAGGCAACGATGTCGAAGGCATCGGGTCCAATCTGACGGGACGAAAGACAAGTGCCTGGGTTTGTGTGGGCGCGGGGAGATGCGGTACGGCTGAGCGCGCACGAGCGCGAGCTACGAGCGGATTCTCTGGTACCCGATGAGAAGATGGGAGAACGACCGGCAATAATTACATACCGATTGCACTGTTTCATAAGAAAATCTCGGCATAACAGTCCGCTGTACGAGATCTCTGCGTCTGAGTCGTTTTGGGCACATTCATGGGAAACAATGCTCCTGGTGATGGAACGTCAACGTGCTATTCGACCGGGAAAAAAGATACACCAACGATCATGCAGCACCCTCTTAGTTGGTGTCGCAATGGGCGACGTCCAGGCATCGGACAAGGAAAGGGTAGTGGTTATCGCCGACAAGACGGTGGGGGTCAAGACATGCACTAGCATCCGATCAGCGGGCGTACAGAGCAGAGGAGTGAACGCAGACAGACTGTTCGTATCCCGCTCGTATGCCTTCTGTATGACTGGGGGATGGGTGTGCGAGTACTAGAGTGTACCAGGACCAGTGCTTGAACAGGCTACAGACAATGAGCGCTCCACTGCAGTCCAAAGGCAGGAGCGACATACCCTGGGACACCTCGAGTATAAGAACCTTGCGGGATGTATCACTTTGCGGTGCGAGGCGCTTCATGATTGTCAAGGACGGATTGGTGGTGGTGGTAAGGAAGCAAGACGAGGGAGAACGCGCGACGCCACTCAAACCTGAGCCCGAGGTCACCGCAGCACGGTCTAGCCTCGGCCAGGGAAATCACTCGAATTGTTCACCATCAAATGATCATGATGCACAGTCATGCAATCCCACAGGTGTACTTGTGTGTATTAAGATATAGGCTATAGGCAGTATAACACTAATGTCTACTCCGCGAAGACTGCACAGTCTATCTCTTTGCAAACGAAGAACTTGACCCAGTCATCTTCCGGGACAGAGCGGTCAACGACTTCGGCCGAGCTGGCATATGTGCCGATGATGGTGTTAAACACGTAGGTACCTGTAATCTCACCACTACCTGGCACTTCCTGAACAGCATCGTACCTAGTATTTTCTGTGGAGACACGAAGGAAACGCACCTGCGGGCCAGACGAAGACATGCAAACTACCAGGAAGTGATACCGTCCCGATAGTTCAGACAGACGACGGTGATGGTCTCAAAGCAAGAGGGTGAATACGTTGCTCGTCGTTTGGGCTGCGGCTGAAGGACCAGGAAGAGCACAAACCAGAACATCGACTGCTTCGCATTGAACACAACCCATTGGCAGCGCGTTGCCCCGGGCCGGCACCTGGAAGCGATGGGTTTTCTAGCCAATCAGCGCCATTTCATCGTGCGTGACTTTCACGTGCCCGGTCCGGACAGGAATTTCGGGGGTTTTGCAAGCTGGGTTCTCTTCGAGCCCCAGAACTCACAGCTTTACAGACTTGACGAAACGGATGCATGAGCATAGTAGAGCCTTTTACCATTCAGCCGCGATGAATGAAACGCTTCGTCAACTGCCCGTTAGTATACGCGTACAGTACGTTTACGGATGGTTCCTGTACCCCATGTCACTTCCGGCTTGATGTGTCAATGTACTGTAGTTTTTCGACCGGAAGCTCGTGATGCGTAACGCGTCGACCGAACTTAAGCCTAATTCAGGTTCAGTAACGTGTAACGCGCCTAATCTCCTGAAGCAGTCGGCTCGATGCAACCGCTGGGTAGGTGGTGAGGAAAGGCGCGGTTTCGCCCGTTACCCGATGTTCGGGGAGCTCTTTTGGTGCTGTTTGCCCTTTTTGGCGCCACAATAGGTTCAGTGTAACGCACAGCAGGTTCGGCCGAACTTGCGGCCGAAAAAGTACACTACTCTTGTTTCGTCGCTCCGCGTGCTCGCGCTTGGTTCTGCGTCCTCTCCAGCCGACCAGCCACGAGTCGTATGCCGCGATCTGTCATCGCCGAATATGAATCATGTCGTTCGGCGGCCAGATGGCCATATGCTCGTTCAACTGCAAGTTCTGACATCATCCAACTACATCCGAGTAGAGTACAACATTCACTTCTTGCCAAACATCTTCGCCGCACTCACACTCGCGACTCTCTCCACATCTCTACACGTCAAACTATACCTCGTCCCCCTCCCCATCACCCCGTCCCTCCTCTCACTCGGCACCATCCCCCCATTCGCCAGCCGCACCCCACCGAGCACATCCTCCCCCACCCCCTCAATCCCATGCAAACACTCCGTATACAGCGCTGCGGTCGTGATAACCAGACTCCGCGGCTCGAGCAGGAGCGAGAGGACTGGGGACGGGTCGATGGAGCGGTCGGAGGGGGAGTTGTAGCGGTAGTAGTGCATCACTGTGTGTGAGCCTAGTGAGAGCGTCGCGACGACGGGGTGGTAGGCTGGTCCATCTTGATGTGGCTTTGAGGCGCTTTAGTCTGGTCTCCGGATCCGTTGTTGATAGCAGGCGTGACCCACCATGATGCCTTGCCCGGGGAGGTACTGCACCAACTTCATAAGCCTCGCGTCGTCATGCGTAGTGGTAAAGATGGACCTCGTTCATGATAACATGATTCGGTTCACCGTGCGGCGAGTCAGCGAATGCACCGGTCGCTCGCAATCTCGATATGAGATTGGGGTACTCCGTCATGAACGGTGGCATGGGCTGTGGTATGAGTATATTCTTAGGCGTCAGATCTCCTCCTGCACATCGGAGCGTACAATGTCAGCCTCTAAACTCTGATTTCGAGCCCGAATGAGTCGCCTACCCCACGTCTGTAACCGCCTCTTGGCCAACTGTCGCCACTTCGGCTGCGGCGCCTCTAAGATCTGAGATATCACACGGGTCGTCGCGGAGTATTCGTGCTACCGGAATTGACGTACCTTGCGAACGAGATACTCTTCCTCCTCTTCGGTCACAAAGTTCGGTATATAGTACGTGCGATCGGATCCTGGGACATGTTGCGCAGAAAGATCGGTCATGGTGGTCAAGAGCCAACTCTGCAATCGCGTTGCTGGTGCCACACCGACGTCACCGTACTCAATCGCGATGAAGCTTGCAAACAGAAAACTTCCATTATATTGGTACAGGCTATCCCAAGCATATTCCACAACCATCATAACCTCGTATAAATACCGCATCTCCTCAATTCCCGAGATATGCTACACGTAGTGGCAGAGTAGTATAACCCGCATTCAAACAGAGCAAGAAAGAATTCGTAAAAAGTGGGAAGGGATATAATCGTGAGCCGCCCATCGCGAAGGGCAGGCATATAAAACCGTGTACGACGTGATGAACGAAGAAGAACCAGCGAAAGAAGAGTTATAAGAGATGTGATCGTGATGGTAGAAGCCGGCGCCGTGGAAGACCTTTCCCTCCGACATTTCACGCCCGAATGCGCCATCCATCGCCCTTCCGACTGACCTTCCCGACCCCGCCCATCCCCTCCCTCACAACGAGCCACAACCCCGTACTACTGACGATATCCTTGATCTCCTCGGCCGTCAACACCAGCCCCGTCTGCGTCTCTGGATCATAGCTCGGTCTCGCGAGCCCCTGAGGCGTAACGACCCTCCGCTGAATATTCATCTGATCCACGATCACGTCCGGAAGCGGGAACGGCACTTTGAGCAGCGCAACGACCTTCGGATGATGTGGCGTAGGCGAGAACGTCGCGATCTTGACGCGCACGAGCTGTTGATGCGCCTGATGCGACTCAACGCTCTGGGTGGGCGAATGCGCCGCGTACGGTCCTCCTCCTCCAGGCAGCGCAGCCGCTACGCGGCGCACGATCATCGTGCACGTCCACGGCGTCTCCGAGTCTTCCGGATCGCTCTCCTCCCCATCATCGTCTCCCCCGCGCGAAGCCGGCACCTCGCTGTCCTCGCCCGCAGCCGTCGACACACTATGCGCGCTGGCCATCGAAAGCCTGTTCTTCCGTTTCGCGGCCTGACTGCTCCCAAGGGACGATACAGACGGGTGATCGCCCGTCAGCGCCAGACTCCTTCTCCTAGACCCAGAACTCTGCGTCCTCTTCATCTCGTCGTGCCCCTCGCTCGTGGTAGCCGTCTCGGGCCTCTTCCCCGCCGACTTTGACTTTCCCCTCGACCAGATGAACTGCACCTCAACCTGGCCCTCAGGGACCCTGCTCCCCCTAACATCCTCCCCCAACCCGATCCCGCCCATAAACCCAATAACGTTCGTCAAGAGCCCGTCCTCGGCACCTTTAATCCACCGCCGCACGACCCACGCGTACGAATGCGGGCGCCCTCTCGGCGGAACGCTAGGCGCGCTCAGGATCGGCTGAATGCCCAGCACAGCCGGCTGCAGCGTGACGCCCGGGGGCAGCGGAACGCCATATCCGCTCGTCGAAGAAGAAGCGTCCTGCGCGTGCGCGTGCGCGAGCGCCGCTTTATTCGCCTGGGGCGCCCAGCTCGCGCGCTTCGCGTGTCCGCTGCCGGCCTTGCTCGGAACGCGGAGGAAGGCGTGCCCCGCGGGCGCTTCCTCGGCCGGGACGGGCGTCGACGTCGGGGACGGCACGTCCTTTTTCTTGAACAGGCGTCCGAAGATCTTCTTCGCGCCCGTAGGCGCCGGCGCCTCGGCCACGGGCGCCGCGAAGGGCGTCTGCACGGGCGTGGGCGTCGCGTGGGCGTCGACGCCCGCGGACGAGGCCGAGATCATCGAGTTGGGCGTCGTGGGCCGGTCGTCGGCGCGCGGCGCGTGGGGGTTGTGGTGATCGCGGTGCGACTCGAGGCTGGTGCGCGCGCTCGTCGACGTCATCGAGGGGGCGGTGGTGGGATAGAGTATAGGCGTTGTGAGACTGGAATGGCTGCCGTAGACCTCGAGCGGCTCGAGGATTGCCAGACCGAGGACTTCTAATCCGCGTTTGGTCAGCTTCGCCACTTTGGCGTCTGTTCCGGCGTCTACGATCGTGTTGGTCATGACGTTGTGCGCCTGGAGGTTGTAGAGCGGGATGATCATCCTTCTGGAAGAGGCCGTGGAGGATACGGAGGAGAAGGAGGAGACGGAGGAGTAGGCGGATGCGTCGGACCGGTTGGAGGTCGTGCGCTGCAGCGAGTTGCCGTCTTCGGAGCCTTCTGCGGAAAAGTCGACGGATCGCCGGAGGGAGCGGTCGCGCGATTGCGGCGGCACCAGTTGCACCTGCAGGTTTAGCGGGTGGTTCGACTTTGCCGGCGGGGGCCGCACGACGATGAATGTCTGCACATCCGGCGTCAGCAACTTGCATGATTATGTCGGCCCAGATCGGTCAACAAATCCGAACTCGGCCACAGGGCGTACAGCAGCGTCGTACGCGCCTAAGACGCAGGCACAGGGACGAGAGAAAGAATAGAGATAGGATAGCAATTCCGAGATGGCATCCAATGACGCTTCGAGCTCGCGCGAGCAACTCTAATATATGTAAGAGTAGTACGAGCATAATACACACCTCATGAGTATTTCGTTTCCGCTTGTGTGTAGTCTCTTCCGCAGACTTGGCCTCGGCGGCGGCGGCAGCAGCAGCAGTCTCGGGCGTCACCGTCTGCTCGGTCGACTCTCCATTGTCTGGCGCGGGGCTAGGGTTCACCTGGCTGGCGCGCCTACTGTCCGTCTGGGAGAGCGCGGCCGGCAGGAAGGACGACAGCGTAGAGAACATAATATCGTGATGGCGGTTGCAGTCAGAGCATGGGGTTTGTCGTGGAGGATCAGGCTCAGGCTGTACTCTTACCGCCCGCGGCGCTGCTCTCCGACGTCACAGTGACAACGCGTAAACGGCTCCCACTCCCGTCTTCCCGCCCTTTGCCTTCGTCACCTTCCTGCCCTTGACCCGAACCATCGATCTCCTTGCCAAATGACTGCGCACGAGCCTTCAAGGAGATCTGGTGAAGATGGTACGATTATTCTCGCGCGGCTTTCCGGCCCTCGGGCGCCAACAGTCTCCGCGGGATCTCCAACATCTCACTGCTTTGACATCGCTACGGTATCTTCGAATTCTGTCCCAATGCGATCGGCGACGGATTATCTCCTCGACTCGTCGCCGCTGGTACCATATTACATTCCGTCGGGCCTCACAAGAGGATTGACATGGTCTCAGACGACCCAGCCGCGCTCAGAGCAGCGCCAAACTAGAGTTTGATCCGTTGGACCGTCCGACTTGTTACTCTCCGACGCGTCCAGCTGGCAGAAGCACTGCTAGCAAACTGGACCTGTCACCCATATTCTCCTTCTAGCTCGGACTTCCGCATGCTACTTACAAGCCATTCTCTATACCTTACCACCAACTCGGTTTCCCGCGCGTTCGGTCCCCCGAGTGCACCTGCATCACGAACGCGGGGTTGCGGAGAACGCGCGAACGAGAGATGGTCAGGATGGTCAGATGTTGACTGCGTCATGTTCTTCTGAGCCCTGGGCTGCAGGTGGGCGCTTTGTGGCGCCAGGAACTACCAATCCTCGTGTTGACAGGGCTCGAGCTTGGGTCAGGAGGCTATCTTTACACAAGCCTGTATTTTCCGGTCAAATCCGTTGAGAAGCTGATCAAGGCCACAGGTGTAAACATATCCGAATATACTGCTGTATCCATTTCCTTATCCTAACCACTATCTCATGCCTATACATCCACATTCAAACACCCTACGCGCTCCTCGCCGGACCAGCCAACTTCGTCACCAACAGATGGTCCCTCACAATCTCCTCCTTCTTCGCCAGCACCTCCTCAACGTCCCACGTAGCGTCCACATACCTGCACCGGACATTCAACATCCGTTCCGGACACGAAGAGAAACGACAGCACGTACCTGCCGCTGAGGAACTCGGCGTTGCGGCCCGTAAGCCAGAGATAAAACGCCGCGGCGTTCTCCACCGTGTCGTCGTGCGGGAAAGCGATGCCCGAGGCTTTCTGCGCGGCGATGTTCATCTCTGTCGGGATCGCGCCGGGCTGGACGGAGTAGGACTTGATGTCGGGGTACTCTGCATCGTTCAATCGACACGTCAGACTCACAGGGGCAGCGAACTGAATGGTGTTCGACGTACCGACGGCAAGAAGCTCAACAAGCCTGTTCAGCGCGTGCTTGCTGATCTATACATTGACGTCAGCCCTCGAACCCTCGAACCAACGCGCGCAGTACACATACAATATAGTCCGAGCCGAACGGGAAACGCAAATGCGACGCCGACGAACTCGTGACGATGATCTGCCCGCCCGTCTTGACGAGCTCAGGCAGCGCAGCGTTCACGAGCCCATACGTCCCGAATATATTCGTCTCCATCGACGCGCGCCACGCGGCGGGGTCGCTCTCGCCGAGACCTATTCACAAACACAGCTCATCAGCCCACGAGCATCACGAGCATCGTTCAAGCGAACGGACGCACGATAGATAGGCGGCGTCCCCGTCCCCGCATTCGCAATAACAACGTCGACCCTCCCAAAAGCGCTCACAGCCCTCTCCACCACCAGCCTCGGCACCTCAGTCTTCGAGATATCGCCCGCGACAATCTCGACGCGCGCCCCAGGTATCTCCTTCTCGATCTCGGCCTTCTTCTCCTCGAGCCGCTCCTTCCTGCGGCCGACGAGAACGAGGTGGGCGCCGGCGCGCGCGTACGCGGAGGCACAGGCACCGCCGATGCCCGTCGCGCCGCCGGTGACGATCACGACTTTGTCCTTGTGGTTCTGCGCTTTCCACGCCGCGGCCGGGTCGAGGCGTTTCTGCGATCTGTGAATCGACCAGCCATGTCAGAACACCGGAGTACTATGCAAGCGCGCAGAGTCGAGGGACGCGGCGCACGTACTCGTGCGTGATCGAGAACGGCGTGGCGATCTCTGCAAAGCCGACGATCTTCGTGAAGTCCATTCTCGAGTCGGTGTGTGGCGTCGGTGACGAAGGGTAGAGGCTGTAAGTATGCCGACCGTCTGCTCGGGCGCCTACGATACTTATACCTCTCGTATGCGGCGGGACCGCCGCGCTCGATATTGGACGAGCATATCGTCTTCCGCGCGAGTCAGGCTAATCGCCGTACAGACATCCCATCGCCGACTCGCCAAACGCCGTACGCGGTGCCGGCCGCGAGGGACGACTTGCGTAGCCCGTGCTAACGCCGTACCTGCGTATACGAGCGCACATGTGAGGCTGGATGATGGGATAGCGAACACGCGATGCAATTCAGATTGTATGAGACGTTCGGGGTGTGGCCGAGGCGTCGCCGAGGGTCCAGGGGATGCAGTGACTCGCATGGGATGTACTCATAAGTATATTGCATGAGGGAGATACAGATCCGCATTTACCGTACAGTAAGTATGACTGGGCTGTGAGAATGACCCAATGATTATGATGGGGGGTTTACTGAAACCAGTGCACGAGCCGCGATACGAAGCTCTGCTTTCGGCTCTCAGGCTGGCCTGATCGAGGCGCGGGTCCAGCGAGCTTCGTAACGAGAAGATTATCCCGCTCGATGTCTTCCTTCGCAGCTAGCACCTCGTCCAGATCCCACGTCGCATCGATGAACCTACGCGCATCCACAGTCAGATAGAGACTCGCCAACCACGAACGAGCAGTGAAGCACTCACCGCCCGCTCAAAAACCCGGCCTTGCGGCTGGTAAGCCAGACGTACAGCGCAGCGACGTGCTCGGCTTTGTCGACCATCGGAAAGTGCATGTCCCCCGCGTTTTGGAAGTTGCGGCAGGTCTCGGTGTCGATCACGCCCGGCTGCACCGCGTAGAACTTGAGAGCCGGGTATTCTGCGTGAGCCATCGTGATCGTCAGCGCCAACTCTCACTCAGCGAGTCAACCACACGAAAAGACATACCGTACGATAAGAGCTCTATCATCCTATTCAGCACGTGCTTGCTGAGCTATATCAAGACCCAGCGGATGAGCATTGACCCAAAGTTAGGTTCTCTTCGAAGCACTGCTCACCGTGTAATCCGAGCTCACGTTCCACCGCATATGAGCGGCCGAGGAAGACGTGAACACGACCTGCCCACCCGTCTTCTCCAGCTCTGGCAGCGCAGCGTGGATGATGCCGTACGTCCCGAAGACGTTCATGGATATAGAGTCGCGCCAGTCTTGCGCGCTGCCTTCGCCGATGCCTGGTTCAAGTTCGCGACGTTAAGCGACGATGTACGGTATGGGAAGACAGAGCGAAGCGCACGTACGGTGGATAGGCGAGTTCACGCGCCCCGCATTCGCAATGACGATATCGACGCGTCCAAACGCCTCGCGTGCAGTCTGAACGGCTCTCTCAGGTACAGCAGCATCGGCCATATCGCCCGGAACAAGCTCGACCCGCGCGCTCGGGACCTCGCCGACGATCTCAGCCCTCTTCGCCTCGAGCTTTGCCGCATCGCGGCCGATAAGAACGAGCTGCGCGCCAGTGCGCGCGTGCAGCAGTGCGCACGCGCCGCCGATGCCTGCTGAGCCGCCTGTGATGATCACTACGCGATTTTTGAATGCTTGGGTTTGGATCGCGGGTGTTGGGTCGGCTTGTTTTTGTAGACTGGAGATGTCATTAGGGGACGAGAATGGAGAGTCGCGGGCGGTGGTGACTGGTTCGTATGCTCACTCGTGTCTGGATGTGAAGATGGCCATCTCTTCGACACCGGGGATCTTGGTGGTATCGCGCGACATGGTGACCTAGCTGTACAGTCGCAAGGAAGACGAAGGCCGGCGATGCTCAGGCGCTGCAACAGTATATATACCGAAGACGTCGAGCCTCAGCTGACGCCAGTGACCAGAGGGCTACGAGCAAAAGTGGACAAGCATGGGTCCCGAGAAGCAGGTTCTAATTCAGCAAAGATAGACGGGGTCGGTAGCTGTAGGGCTGCGGGTGGCACACTGACGACACTTTCCCATACACGGATAGCGCGTCTGCAGATACGAGATTCTTTGAGAAATGGGTGAACATGCAAGCGGTGATGATAAACGCAGACCATACGGTCATTGTACGATGTTACACAAATACTAATCGTGACGGATTCCGGCCAATTACGCTCAATAACCCTGCGCACGAGTCAATAACGGTCCTCTCTGAATGGTATAGATGAGACCACTGACCAGTCCGGCGAACAGCCGTACGTCCGCGTGCGTTTCGTACTTATTCGGGTCGGCGCTGTTGACCTTGACAGCGTCGAACGTGCCCGCGTCGGCGTTCCAATGGAAGATACGCTTGACACCGGCCCAGCGACACCACTCCAGACAGCGCCAACACGGCCGGGCGGAGCCCATCCCTGACTTTGTGACGCGGGCGACGTAGATGTCCGCGCCGTTGACGCGAGGATCGCGCCGACGTGCCGCCCACGCCTTGGCGTCGGCCGACCGCACACTCTCCGGCGAGCTCGAGTCTGACGAACGCCGACTACTGCTGCTTCCGCTACCCCTATGAGAGCTCCTCCCGCTCCTGACCCCACTCCGGCTATTCCCTTCGCTGCAACAACTACACTCCCCATCACTCAACGCGCTCCACTCGTCCTCGTCGTCGTCCTCCGCCTCCTGTCCTCGTTTCCCGCGCCCCATTTTCGCACTAATCCGCTTATGCGACCGCGCCGGCACGTGAAAGACGCTGTTGGGGGTGCCCCTCGCCGGCGGCGAAGGGCGCCGCCCCTTTAAGCGGTGGAGATTCTCTTTCGATTTGTTTGCCCGCGCGCTGAGAGCGGAAGCTGGGGCTCATGCCCGTGAGAGCGTAGATGGCGTGCATCTCGGCGTGCATCGACACCGGCTTGCGGTGCCCGTGCGTGCGGACCTGCAGGCCGTCGTAGTGCGGCCGGTGGTGGTTATAGCCCGAGGAGATCACTTTCCCGCCTTTGACGAGCACCGCGCCGAGCGTGAAGGACATCGGCGACTTGGACGCCGCGTCGGCGCACTGGGACAGGTAGAACTGCGTCTTGTTCATCGCGATGAATCAGGGAGAAAAATTCGGATAGACTCGATTGTGGGGTAGGATGCTGGTCGTTTGGAGTGAAGGTGCGATCGTCTTGCGGACGCTGCGAGGATCGATAGCACGTGTGGGCCACGAGGAGGAGGTGCCGCGGCGCTCTGCTTGCTCCCGACGTCCATGGTGGGTGCACAGCTACCTCATCTCAGACTGTATGCGTTTCGACTCAGCATCCTTGATCCAATCTGGAGCCTCAAGAAAAACAACATCGGGTCAGGCTGAAATATGCTCTCCTTCTGTCTTGTGTCCTCGCCGGCATGAGCAATGAGCATTCTACCTCATCATTGACACCTCTGTCTCTTGTCTCAATATGCCAATGTGCCCTGTATCGCGATATGGAGTCTACATATTAGCCTGCACACTACTCAGTCTAGTGCTTCAGTGACCTGCACGAGCTACATATATCTGCTCTGACTCCATCTCCGGAACAATCCTGCGACGGAAACTCATGAACTGACACCGTCGCAGCCGCCTCCGCCGCCCTGCCCTATTCCTCATGTTCACTAAAGACCACAACCTACGGCCCAGAATCAAAACTTTAACCACCGCTCTCCACGGAAACCGTCCAAAGTCCAACGTGTAAGTATCGACGCAGCGCAAGGCCACTAGCGCCATGAAGGGAGCTTTCACACACTGCGCAACTGCTGAATCACTCGCTTTTGACAGACATCGCCGTAACGGGAGTTGCGGCGTATCCTCAAGCTCAAATCATCGTGGTTGATAGCAGTAGCGCCTCCGACTCCGATTCTGGAGATGGTCTTCCTGTGCCCAACGGCGAGACACCTTACGCTATGGAGGATTCACAACCAAGAGCCATATCCCAAGATGATTGGACAACGGCCAACTGTTCAACGTGCGTTGAGCTGCCTTTGACATACGCCAACTTGACCGCTGCTCATGCTTATACCAAACAGAGACGGGGAGATCAACACGCGGTCGCTAGCGCAGACTTTACTATGGACTATAACAACCCTCTACTCCCCATCTCTCACAGCCGGGCACAAACGATTCGAGTTTCTCAACGGCGCATTCGAGTGGTTTTTGAGGGCTGGCTGGAAGGGCTATCGCGCGAGGATCGTCCGCTCTATGGAGTTTGAGTGGGGCACACCGTCGCCTGTCAGCTCCATGTTGGAGTCCGCTGCTCTCAGGCGCTTGTCGGATGAGCTATCCATTGTAGCGAAGGACATTGCTATAGCTTTCAGCAAAGATGAAGACCGGAGAAGCCGAGAGGCGACATCGCCGTGGCGAGATGGTGCAGAGACCGTGAGAGGTGCGGATGCTCCGGATGAGTGTTTGTTGGATAGTGAGTTCGTTATCGTGCGTCGTCCGACTCTTTAGATCTTGGGATGCGATATGTCTCTACATTGTAAAGCATTGTTCCTTCCTCAGTAAATTCCGTACGCATACTTTCCTTTCCTTAAACCTCAAAGTTCCTCCTGATACTCCCGTTGCCATCACGCCTGACATGTTGTATTGAGAAGCAGCGGTATTGCAATTTATAGCATCGGCCGACTACATAGAACAGGCACTCGGTTCGATGAATAACGAAAACCTTGGGTAGTGCGCCTTACGAGGCGGAGAATATCGAGAACGTCGAGAGTTGACGTTGAGCTACGCTGAAGCTACGCCGCCGGGTGCGTGCCGATGCAACGATCGAACAGACGCATGCAAAGAGATTGATCCGCGTGCCAGAACATGACGAATGAGAAGACGTTGGAATACGAACATGCCACGCGTCTTCGCCCGAGAAGAACAGAGTAAGGGTTCCCAGGAATATAGCGCAAGCACGTACCACTGAATGAGTAAAGGCTGTGTAGCACAAGTGACGAAGCAGCTGCGGTGACCCAGTCTTACCCCGCAGTGGGACCTGTGGCGGACAAAGCGCCATGACAGCGATGCATGACGTCGGAAGCGCGCGCCGTGTGCAGGCGTACACGCGCGCGCTCGGCTCTCTACCTTACCACCACCACCAGTCCTCTCTTTATACACAATGACGATCGCACAACGCTTGAAGCCTGGCCAAGACTGGGGCAAGGGCTCTGTCGAAATCTCTCCCCCAGCGCAGGATGGCGAGTCTGGGATCCGCCGCTTGGCTAATACGAAGGAGGGCCTCGTAACCCAACCACTCGAATCAATATTCACTGTTCCCGACGTCCTGCGCTATGCCGAGCGCACTCATGGGGACAGACCCGCATTCGGGTACCGTGACGTCGTACAGATGGTCGAGGAGGTGAAGGAAGTCGAGAAGATGGTTGACGGCAAGTCGGTGAAGGAGATGAAGAAGTGGAAGTACTTCCAGCTATCGGACTACAAATTCGCAAGCTTCATTGACATCGCCAAGACGGTCCGGGAAGTCGCTGGCGGGTTGCTCGAGCTTGGAGTCGAGAAGAACGAGGTCGTGAATATCTACGCCGCGACGAGGTGAGAACGGCCTCTCTTTGTCTTGTTCGGTTGGGGGACTCGTGACTCCAAGCGCCCGAGTACGAGTCTACTCGCTCCCGCCGGCATTCCTATTGACGCCCGCATAACTGACGCGCTTAACTCTATAGCCCGACATGGCAATACATGAGCCACGGCTGCTCTTACATCTCCGCCACAATCGCCACCGCCTACGACTCTCTCGGCGAAGAGGGTCTCACGCACTCGCTTAACGAGCCCGAGTGTGTGGGTGTATTCACCAACGGCGAGCTCCTCCCCACCGTATCAAAGGTCGCCGCACAAGTCCCCTCCCTCCGCTTCGTGATCTACGACGGCGAGGCAAAGCCCGACGTCATTTCCAAGATCACTGGTGCCCGTGAGGGATTGAAGGTGTTGCACATCGACGAGCTGCGCGCTCTCGGCCGCAAGAAATCCGCAGAGGAGATCGACGGGCGCCAACCGAAGCCTGAGGATGTGGCGTGCATCATGTACACGTCCGGCACGACCGGCGCGCCCAAGGGCGTCGTCATCAAGCACTCGAACCTTATCTCCGCACTGGGCGCCGTTTACGCCTTGTTCGGCCACAACATCAAGGCCGAAGACACGTTCCTCGCTTTCCTCCCCCTGGCGCACATCCTCGAATACATCGTCGAGCTATGCTTCGTCTTCATTGGCATGGTGCAGGGTTACGGACGCGTCAAGACGCTCACGGACGCGAGCGTGCGCAACTGCGTGGGCGATATCAAGGCGCTCAAGCCTACGATCATGGTCGCTGTTCCCGCGGTGTGGGAGCTCATTCGCAAGGGCATTGTGGCGCAGATCAACGGCGGCTCGGCGATCACGAAGAGCGTGTTCAGCGGCGCGATGACGATCAAGAAGAACCAGGTGCCCCTGTTGAAGGGCGTGGTGGACTCGGCTGTGTTCTCGAAGGTCCGCGCTGCGACGGGTGGCAGGCTTAGGTTGGCGTTGTCGGGTGGTGCGGCGTTGAGCAAGGAGACGCAGGAGTTCTTATCGTTGGCGCTCGTCACGCTTCTGCAGGGTACGTTCCGATTCGCCCCTCGTCGTGATGTTGAAGTTGGAGCTGACGGGGTTGGTTTATGAATAGGCTACGGTATGACTGAATCGTGCGGCATGTGCGCCATCCTGCCCCCGGAATGCATGCAATACTCCTCCGTCGGCCTTCCCTCGCCTGCCGTCGAAATCAAGCTTCTTGACGTGACCGAAGCCGGCTATAACTCGCGCGGCAACCCTCCCCAAGGCGAAGTCTGCATCCGTGGTCCCGCCGTCATCAGCGGGTACTACAAGCGTGACGACCTGAACAACGACCCCACAATCTTCCCTGGTGACGGCTGGTTGAGGACAGGCGACGTTGGACGTTGGAACGCCGACGGAACGCTCAGTTTGATCGACAGAATCAAGAACCTGGTCAAGTTGCAGGGCGGAGAGTACATCGCGCTCGAGCGTCTCGAGTCGACGTACAAATCGGTGAACCTCGTCGGCAACATCTGCGTGCACGCGACACAAGAAGCCAAGCAGCCCATGGCGATCATCGTGCCGAACGAGCACCACCTCCGCGCGCTCCCCGGTCTGCCGCCGAACCAGAGTCTCGCGGCGCTGTGCCACGATAAGAAGGTGCGGGAGCTGGTGCTGAAGGAGCTCAACGCGGCGGGGAAGAAGACGGGTTTCAAGCAGATGGAGCTGTTGCAGGCTGTGGTGCTTACGCCCGATGAGTGGACGCCTGAGAGCGGGCTTGTTACGGCGGCGCAGAAGGTGCAGAGGAAGAAGGTCGCGGACCATTTCGAGGCAGAGATCAAGGTGCGTTGTTCTCTTCATATATTTGTGTCATGACGAGGAGGGCTGACTGGGATCCTTCTCGTAGGAGGTGTACAAGCACCAGTGAACGCGCTTTTGAGGGTCAGAATCAGGATCGGACTCGGTAATGAAGTTTTCGTGGCACGGACTCCCCGACTCGCATATCAGCAATCCGTATTGTCTCGACCGTCTGCATACACAACTTCTCGCATGGTATACCTATTCTAGGCTCCGGAATGTACATGTAATATTACCAAGTGTCGAGTTGTCTGACTGGCGCGCGCAGTGAGACGGAAGGGAGCGAGCGGCCTTGGAGCGGCCCTCAATTTGGTGATGCGAGCTGAGCGCGAGTCTTTCTGCTCCCTCTACTGTACAGAAGGGCGAGATTGGATCAGGGTCTGCAGATGTCGTTCGCTGTGTGGATGACGACACGTCGAAGGTCGTCGCAGCAGGGTGTCAACGGATCGACAGTCCGGTCGTGGGAGAGCGCACGAGGGCGCGTTTGATCCGCTCGGCGCGTTCGTCGCTGTCCTCGCGCATCTTGAACCTGACTTCGATGGTAGATCACTCTTATCGCTGTTAGAGGTTGCATGCTTTTTGTTCACTGCGGCAGTACCGACATGCAATTCTGTACTCCGCTTAACCGCTCACGCCGCGCATAAATGTGGTTATTATACGGACGCACGTCGAGACTCGGCGGGCGGGCACCGAAGCTTCTTGAGCGTTTCAGAATAGCCGACGTAAATTGACACGAAACAATTGTATGACATTTCAACACCTAATCACAAGCATTCTACCATCTGATAACACTGCAGCTGCGTTGAGCAACCGATCTTCCTCTTTCCCTCCGCCTCGCGCTCTTGTACGCACACACGTCTGGCCCCTCTTTACCCGTTCCCCGTTCTCGATCGAATCATCCCACTACCGTCTGAGACCGTGACCCGCGACACTAGTTATGTAGTGCGAGCCCAAATTCCTACGCGAAAGCGGACACAGCCGCACGGACCAGATAGCTGCTGGCACTACCCACCATTCCCAACTGATATGACAGCGCCCCCACGACTCTCGAGCTGAGAATGTGACTCTTGCGGCTCGTGGTAAGGCGTAGCACTGCCTGTTTGCGTTGATCTATCACAGTCGCCTGAATCCTATTCTGATGCGCGTTCTTCCGATCTTGGTCTGTCGCAGAGGCCAACTCATGGGACCTGTCCAGAGCGTACTGAGCTTCGGATAAACTCCTCAGACGTGCCTCAAGATCGAGTTTCTGTAGATCGTTCGAGGACCATGCGTGGGCAGCTTTCAGTCTCGCGAGTTCCGCCCAGTCCTCGTGACCGGCTTCGACGTCCCGTGTGCGTTCGTCAAATTGAATTGCCGATAAGATCGCACTGTATGCTTCCTCGTAATCGCCCCTCCGCTCATATATATGAGCAACACGGAGGCAGAGCTTGCGCTCAGTATGCGATTGAATTATGTAAGCCAGATTATTTGCTCGCACGAGTACGGCGTGAGAACAGAAGGCGGTAATGTCGTCGCCATGTGCAATGAGCCGCAAACACTGTTCACGAAGCTTGAGTTTACGAAGCGCCATGTCCAGACAGTGTATCCCGCTATCAGAATAGCCGATGAAATGGCGGTCCCCAGGATCGCAGTACATTGCAATTAATTGTGAGAGAATATCATCTGGAACCTCACTATGATAACGGGACATATATTGCCGAATAGGTGCGAGAACTCGCAGCAGGATGCGCGATGAGTGAGGCGGCGACCGGCCTGGATGCTTCTCGTACTGGATCAAAGAATGTTCCCTCAGGAGAGTCAGGGCTTGTCGAACATTCAGATAACGCTCCAAAGCCGCTGCCCACTTGTATATGTGATCCCTTTCGATGCCCTTTGGGAACAGAGACAGAAGTCTAAGAAGTAGACACGCATCCACATCCCGAAGACAATCGAGAGACGCACGTATGGCTTTGTCCATTGTGTAAGAGCATTCGATCGGTGACGACGTAGTTTCCAATTGAGATTCAACCTTGCGGACCAGGGGAGATATGTCGTAAGACTTCCAAAGAGACCATATATCACGAGATGTTTGCGACCTGGCCAGTCGAGCTAAGATGACGAGAGCCGCGGGCACACGATCAACAGCGCGAATCAACTGGAGGGAATATCGATCATGTCCACCGCAGATGGCCTTCCAAATTTGAACCGAATCCTCTATGCGCAGGGGGGAGATCACCTCTAGACGAGGGAGCGACCATCGGATAGGGGGTAGATTCGTCATGCGGCTCGTAAGAATGAGCGCAACAGATGACATAGAGTCGATCTCGATGAGGAGAGCATCAATGTTATCATCCTCAGTGCCACCTTCCTCCGAATCACCTCTCTGATAATCGTCTACACAAATCAATCCACCAGTATGTCTCAGTCTCTGAAGGGGATCTGGCCTCCGACCTTCCCCGTCACCGTCAAGTACGCCTATCATCTGATCGAGCTGGCTCAGAATGCCGCCATCGTTAGCGGTAGACCGGCAGGTTACGAAAAAGCGACGGTCGCCGTATCTGGTCGCTGTATCCGGATGATGAAGGACTTGGCGAGCAATTGACGTCTTCCCAATCCCAACAGGTCCCAGGATCGGGATACGAGCCCGCTGATCATTCAAGAGACACGAAATAATATGCGACATCTCTTCCTGACGACCGTAGAATATGGGTGGGGCTGCACGTGGCAAGGGCAAGGCACTTGTTCGAGCACGCATTGACTCTGAAAGGGCGAGATTCCACAGGGCGGGAGGCTCTGCCCGGACAGCCGGCGGTGCACGAAGTACCAGACACCCATTTACGTCGTGTATCTCTCTATGTATATCCTCTAGTAGGGTTAGTTGGCTGATCTGAAGGGTGAACTGACGGGAAGAGTTCAGCCAGCCGTATTACGCGACGTGTGCAGTCGCGACGTACATCGAATCGATTCCGTGCGATCATCATCTTGGCACAACAATCTCTCACCGATTGCCTCAGATTTGAACGTACTGAACGTGCTGAATACAACCGTAGATGTCCGAGAATCCGAGTCGATGTCCAGTTCCTAACCTCGCATCGACTTAAGACTTCGATACTCTCCAAGACGGCTCTGCAGAGTCTGTCAGTCGGAGGCCTCGTAACAGCATGTAGACGTACTTCTCGAGGTATGTGAAGCCCCGCCGAATATCTTCATCGAAGGCCTGTTCTGGCACTGCGTGGCGAAGACATCTTCCACGGAAGTCTATAATCATGGAGCTCATCATCTGAGCTTCCTGCATTGCGGCCGACCACTCGTCCTTGAGAACGTCGACTTCCTGTACATGAGTGAGTCCGATGACAGATACTCCCAGAATGACAAGCAACACACATCGACCATCTTGGAAAAAGCGTTCAAGACCGCAGAGATCGCGCCCAGATATGGAACATTCTGGGTCATGGCCGACGCCAGTACCAGTAGCTCGATAACCGTTTTCATGGCGCCTTTCGCACGCTCTTTTGTCTTCTGGCTGACATCTACGCTTGCGCATCAGCAACACACTCCTTGCCCGGCCCAGTCGCCAAGGATAAAGGGCATACGTAGACGACTCGGCCCCTTGGTGGTCTCTAATTGATCAGGCTTTGGGGAGATTGCCTCGGCTACGCGGGAAGCAAACGAAGGCATATAGCACACGACGGCGAGTTGGAAGCAGGTTGGTAGTTGAAGGTGGAGGGAGAGGACCAACTGCGCGGATCCTTGGTTTCGTAGATAAGAGGCTGGCCGGGCGTCAATCCGCTCCGGGGGCTGTACTCTATGCCGCTCACACGGACGCGGACGAATGGGATCCAACAGTTCTGTGAGTCGCAAAACGCGGAGAAGTACGCGTATTTAGTATACAGATGTATAATTGAGGTCAAAGTCGTGGTGGCAGTCGAAGGCGAATCGACGCGCGCAAGGTTGCCAGTGGGCTATTGACCGACCGTGGGAGCGCTCAAGTGCGCGTCTGATCCGCTTGATGCGAGTCGGTCGCTGTGGCGCGCGGCGCTGTCCGTCGCGCCTGTTGAACTTGACTTCGACGGCGGCCATTGTAACTTAGGGCCCGTTCGGCAACCGAGTTCAGCCCGAATTCCGCGTGAGCTCCAAAGTTCAGCTGCCTTTTAAGGCAGGATTAGTCAGCCAGCTGAATTTCCAGAGCCTTCTGTCCAATCAGGTGGCGCGAACTCCGCTGAACTTCAGGAATTGTGGCCCGAACTTTGTCACCGAACGGGCCCTTACAAGAGGCAGTGCTGACTCGTGAGAGGCACCAGGGCGAGATAAGGTTAATATCCTTGAAGCTACTACGAAGAGGACGAAAGGTGGCGGTGCGAAGGAACGTCTGTCTCTGCGCCGCTTGACGCCACCCGCAAGGTCCCGCAGCCCGTGGGAGTGCGCACGAGGGCGCGTCAACACGTGATGTTGGAGTTCGACGCGTCCCGAATTCCGAAACGCCAACCACGACGACGCGTCGACCCATTGCAAGTTGTTTCTTCGTTTCTGCCACCCCAGCGCTCAGCACCTTAGAGCACTCCATCAAGTACAACGCAAACAAATATGTCAAATATCATCGAAATATCCTCGGACTCAGATTCCGATTACGTCCCGCCGCCACGAAAGCAGTATGTCATCGTAATCATCCCTCTGGTCATGTATTGAACATCTGCACGCAGAATCGTTGCCAACGCTTCTAGCGGCAAGGGCTTGAAAGCTATGGGCTCTCCGCGTAAAGCCTCGGCGGCTATTATTGAACTCACAGACTCGGATTCGGATTCAGACGCGGCGATCCCAACACGCGTACCACCACGCAAGGCCGCGTCGTCGCCTACGAAACCCTCACTCTCACCTACAAAGCCCAAACCCAAACCCGTAACCAAAACGAGAATCCCGTCGTCATCCCGAACGCAGCCTTCGGTCAACGCCGAAACACCACTGTACGTTCATTCGCCTGCCTGATATGGCGAAATGTTGCGTTGTGGCGCGGCTGACCGGCGCTTCTAATCCTACAGACCACGCGCGGGCCTCTCTGACATCTTTCGCAAGCCCTCCCACCTCTCCAAGGACATGCCCAAGGCGGCATCGTCGCGTACGCCGTCGGTATCTTCAGAACTTTTCGCTGGGACGTCGCGACCGCGCACGCCGAGTGGCAGCCGTACGCAAGCGCGCACGTCCGACCGCAGTCCTGAGAAGCTCAGCTTCCCTGATTCACCTGTCAAACCTGCGCGCGCTCCCGTCACACCTTCCAAGCGCGCGCGTCAGCCCACATCACAGCGCTCGCCGTCGAAGAAAGCTCTTGCAGCGGCCGCCGCAGCCCACCTGGCCGGATACGCGTCTGATCTGTTTGCCGAGCTGAACACGGTGGTGTTCAAAGGCGGCCTCCCTGCATCCACCGAACTCAAGTGGAGTCCTCGTCTGCGCAGTACGGCTGGTCGCGCTCGGTGGCACCGCACGCGGGGCAAAGACGGAAGCACCAGCGAGGAGTTTACGGAGATCGAGTTGGCCAGCAAGATCGTGGATTGCGAGGAGCGCGTTCGGAATACGCTTGCACATGAGATGTGCCATCTTGCGTGTTGGGTCATTGATAAGGACGTCAAGGAGGGTCACGGCTCTAAATGGAAGAGCTGGTGAGTTCGTACATGCCCGTTTTAGGAATATCAGTAACCCTTTCCTAGGGCGTCCAAGGTCATGCGGGCGCGGAGGGATATCTCTATCTCTGTACGCACCGTTTCGTCTGCTGCCAAGCGAACCTATACTGATCTTTCACAGACGCGACACCACTACGAGATCTCGTACAAGTACCAGTGGGAGTGCGACAACTGCTCTAGAATGTACGTCTATCTTGTACTCCATCAGTCATCTGGATCCTGATTTGATGCTTCGTAGCTATGGAAGGCACAGCAACTCAATCCGACCAGACGAAGTCTTGTGTGGCGCATGTAAGACGGGCCACCTTGCACCTCTCTTTGGGGCGCGAAACGCGAAGGCTCCCGCTTCTCCGCGGAAGGGGAAGAAGCCGGTATCAGCAACATCTCTTGCGCGTGAGTCTTATGTCATCATCGATCTTCATCCATGTCATGTATACTGAATACGATGCAGACGCGCTCGACGGGCTCAAGCTCGATGATCTACGCTACAACGAGGACGAAGTCGAGGATCTCGCGGGCGAGATGCGCGACATGGACTTTGGGTCGTGCGCGTCGGACGACGACTAGATACATCATTACGGGCGCTCCCATATGCCTCTCAGGGGCACCATGCTGAGTGCTGAGCATCACATCTCACGAAAAAGACCCATATATTCTCGCATTTACGACGGATTTAGGACGATAGTTCTAAGACTCTTGCATATATCCCTAATATCCCTGCATCTTGATTCTTGCATCCGCGTACAGAGTCTTACATACAATTCTCCCTGCAGCTGTTGTCGGCACTAGGCACTAAGTAAGTTCATCAGTGGAAGGAATGCATGCTTGCGAGCAAGAGAACCCCAATGGCCGGAGTTCGGACTCCCGGCCCGGTGATCTCGCCGGAGAATCGCGGGGAACGCTTTTGCTCTTGACGCCCATGAACTCTGCCTCCTGAAGCGGTCCATGGACTGGATTACGCGGACCTTCTTCATCTGCAACTTCGCGATGCGCCGAGAACACCGTCGAACCTGTTACCGGTACCAATGAAGCCAACGACGCGCGTATAAGACGCGTAAGTTCTACACCAGACTCTGCGACTCTGTATCTTTCGGTCCAGTCGGGTTCACTTGAACGAGTGGGTAAATGCCCTGGCGCTTGACTATACGGACTCGGTTCTCTTCGGTTCCACACGCTATGCATGCGAGCCTCGGACGATGATAATCAAGCCACAAAGCCCTTAGCTTGACCTTGACTGGTCACCGTGACCACCTCTGTATTGACTCTCTTACTGCTAACCAAGTCGGCGAAACCTCTTAGGCTCCCGAAATGCCCTTTGAGACGGGACTGGAATGTCCACGATACATATCCACAAGCGGCGCATTTCCCACAGGAACTGCATGGCCGCCGGGCGCCTATTCGAAGGCGGATTCTCATACTTACTTTCTTTGGATGGCTCTCGTCAAGAGCTGCACTCTGCTGCGCACAAGGGACTGGTATCGTACCGAGATGCTTGCGCGTGGGTCTTGGCCGGGCTCTGTTTTCACGACAGGCTTACGCGTACAGCTTCTACTCTGCTTTATCCGAACTCTCAGCCGAGATATGGCAAGGAGCCCAGGTCGTGTGGAGACGGTTGGCTTGACAACCTCCGATTCGGCTTCACTGACTAATGCATACTTACTGCAAGATCTACGAGATTGAGCTATCTTGCGCTCTGGTTATATAGGTTTGAGTCAAAGCGCCGGATCGAGCTCTCACCTATCCCGCAACCAATACGCACCTCCAACCTACAAGATCGTCAACTACCTACCAACCTTTATCTGCCCTTTATACGACGGGGAAGCCCTCTGCGATGGCCAACTATCAACCTTCATCCACCTTCAACGCAGCCGGTCTGCGCGTTTTCTCTCCTCTTCAACTTCAAGACGTTAACTCGATCTCTTCTGCTATGGATGAACTGGACACGACCGTCATGCAGTACGGCATGGCGGTCGTGTTCGAAGCTGCACTTAGCCGGATTGCTCCCGACTCGCAGCTCGACCATACCACGAAGGATCTCTACGCACTGCCGTTCATCATCTCAGGTGCGCCATCTCACAGTTTCGTCGTCTCCATTCGCTAACTGGTGTACAGCATGTTCAACGAAAGCCGCGGTGCGGCTCAAGGAGGACGCAGTCGGCCTCTTTCCACGAACACGCGCAAGCTGGAATGAAACCGGTGTTGGGTGGCGCTTGCTCCTCGCGCTGCTTAAGGCCGCTTACTTCCTCGCCGTCGAGCCAACTGTCACGCGACGGTACCCATCGCTTGCCTCAACGGATCACAAGCACGCGCTCCTGCAGATGGCCCACTTCGCATCTGTCGTGTCGCGTTCCATCCGGTCCTTCATCATCAATCGTGTTGCGCACAGACACGGTCCCTCGCTGGCGCCCTTCCGGATGCTCGATTATAGGATACCCCGTATTCCGCCCTTTGCGCACACAACATACCTACCAAGGCGATATCGATCTTGTGCGAACGAGAGACTCGAGCGGCGCATGGACGAATGGTGGGAGGCATGGCGGTTGGCACACGACGGCGATACGCTCTCTGCGTGCAATGACTTAGGCATCGTTCGCCCGCTGTTACACTCAGAAGCGGAGACAATGTGTGTCTCCCTCTTGGTGGCATGCTCGAATATGCTCGAGGTAAGTCAAGCATTGAACTTTGTGGCGCAGGGACATACAGGCTGATTCCGCCACAGGACTTACTCGCATATTTCCGCCGTGAGACCATCAAGAACGCGATCCAAAGCGCATACACCTCCCGTACGGATGCCGACCCTCATGTTCTCGCAATCGACAACTGCTCCGCCTACTCTCGGCGCCATACATCACCACCGCCGACATCGACATCACTCTGCATCCGCCGCGTTCAGCTCAATACGGAGTTCCCCTTCGATCATGTCGAAGGTTTCGGCCCATGGCGCATCCTAGTGGAGCACGAAGCCCGTAAAGCTCTTCGAGAGGCGGATGAAAGAACATACCGCGTTCACCTCGCGAAGCTGCAAGAGCTCTCCGCCGGATATCTGTACGGTGATCATATGAAGAGGCTGAAGTGGCACAACACGCTGTTGCCTGTGTATGAGGCTAAGGTCACAAGGAACTCGCGCATTGTGGTACGTCTTCGTATCGTCACATATATTGACGGATAGCTAGCTGATACAGTCTTCAGTACCAGTTCCATGTCGTGCCCGACGATGACGGAAAAGCCGAGCGTCAAGGTATGTCGCACAATATCACCTTCTAACATGTACCAGGCTGACGAGCTTCGCAGTCCTTCGCATATGGCACATCTCCAATCATGTCCAGATCGACCGTCAGCACAGTATCTGGGCGTCCATCACAGACCACGAACGACGATTGAACGCGCGTCTACACGGTGTCGGGCGCGATGGGCGTATGCGGCGACGTCTATTTCAACAACGCTGCGCGGCTCGTACCCCAATGGTGGGCCGATGTACGCGCGTAGTCATCCGGCCGACTATCTGGCCGTTGGACCCTATCAGCGACTGATGCAGAGTTGACCTCTGAATTCGGATTGTACTACATAGTGATGCCTCCTCGTCAAAAAACCTGATGTTCTCGATGCCATTGCTGTTGGAGTGCATCCCATCACGGGCGCGCATACTCCGGCTCAATTCGGCATCGCCTTATGCAGCGCTCATACAAAATACCCAGTAAGGTATCCTTTCGACTGCACATCTAAATCTGCACTCGCAAGTTGCGCGGGTGTCGGCTTCGGCAGACCGCGCCGGCTGAATGCGGGAGAACCACCTCAGAGGTCATATGGTGAAGTACGTATTGGTTCGATTCACTTCGACAGACCTTCTTCACCGTTCTCGAACCCTCCTGTAGGTTCTGAATCGCGCTGCCGACATCTACTGTTAGCCATCGCGCTGGTAAGCTGATGTGGTTCTCTAGGCCTTTTCGGACCCTACTCACTGGGATTTGACTGCAGACGAGTCACTATTCAACGCTACATGGCATAGTCAGATCCTATACTACGCAGGGTCTGAGACTACTGGGGAAAGAAGACCATAGACTCGTAGCGCATCGTATACGGCTGCGCCACAGCTAATTGCTTCCATGGACCCTGGCACTGGTCCGTCGGAGACTTGGCGGACTCAGGAACAGCATATAAACACGTGAGCCGAGATGCTGGAAGCCCCTGTCTCTTCCCCCGCGAAGTGACCTGATCTGGAGAACTGACCGTTCTGCACAGCGACTCTACTCTCTCGCTTTCTTATGGGGAAACATCTTACGAGGGCGAGCCCTCAAGTCTCTCTGTCTCTATTCAACGCAGCTGGCCTGTCTGTCTTCACGCCCTGGCGGCTTCAAGACCACAACGCGAACGACGCTGCCGTCGAAGAGCTGAACGTGGCCGTACTCCAAGTAGGCGCCCCAGCGATACTCAAGGCCGCTCTCGACCAACTTGATCCCGCTGCGCATTTGGCCCGTACTACTTCGAGGGCCCTGTATGCCCTCCCGTATATCATCTCAGGTGTGTCTTACCCTCTTGTGCATATCCTTCGTTTGATCAAAGTACTCAATAGTGCTCTCGATGAAGGCCGCCGGTCAATTGACGAAGGACGCTCTCGATCTCTTCTCGCGCACACAAGATGATAGCGATTCGACATACGGCTGGCGACTACTTCGCGCCCTTCTTAAGGCTGCGTTCTGCCTCCCAATCCAGCCTTCCCTGCGTAGATTGCGTCTGGCTAGCTTCCATGAGCACAAGTATGCTATGCGCGATATGGCTCACCTCACGGGGGTCTTGGCGCAGGCGCTCTTGTACAACGTCAGCAAAGGCGCAGCTCGAACGCGCTCTCGCTCAGGCTCGTATTCAGGCCCTCCGTCGTCGTTGCGGCACTGTCTTGTGGGCAGCATTCCCCACTTTCCAGTCACAGATGGGTACACTCCTCCCAGATCCAGATCTCATCACGCCCGACGCGAGTGCAGTCGCTTTGAAGCGCGCGCGCAGAAGTGGTGGGAGACGTGGGAGACTGCGCACAAGGACAATGTGTGCGCGTTTGACGAGTTGGGCGTGGCCCAACCGGCCTCGCGCTCCGAAGCGCACGAGTTATCTAGAGCAGTGGTTTCGACTGGCAGCCGCATACTTCAGGTGTGTCTTCCTCTCTTATCGATGTTGCTGTATGGACTGATGACTTATCGTAGGAGCTTCTCGACTACTTCCGCCGCGACACTGTCAAGGACGCGGTCCACAACGTCTATCTCCGCTTCGATGACGCGGACACCACCGCATGGATAGGCGACGACGACATTGCCACGAGCGACTGGGGAAGCCATGTTCCTACTCTCCCTGACGTCGATGGTGCATCGGTGGCCCCACACAAGGACCTTGAAGCTGACGAGAACGAGAACTTCCCCTTCGATGGTGATGCGGACTTTGGCCCATGGCGCATCCTAGTCACCCACGAAGCACGCAAGACGCTCCGTGATGCTGACGGGAAGATGCATGAGGTCTATCGTAGGAAGATGCAGGAGCTCTCGCACGGCCATCTGTACGGCGACAATCAGAAGAAGCTCGTGGGACACAAGAAGAATCAGCTTGTGCCGCTCTACGAGGCGAAGATCACGAGAGATACTCGACTAGTGGTGAGTCACAAGTCTGATCCAGACATGGCGCTGTGACCGATACGTCTCATAGTATCAGATACACGTTGTTCCCGACGAAGACCAGTTGCATGAACGTCAGGGTGAGTCCATCTGCGCCTGTTTTTGTCCGCTCTGACTGACATACTCATATAGTCATCCGCGTATGGGCGATTTATAGTCATCGCCAGCTCGACAAGAGTCGCATGTGGTCCGTCGTGGAACATCAGGAACAGATGAACGAACGCTTATGGGGCCCGAAGCACGGTAGAATGTCGCGGCGCAAAGAGTACCAGCAACGTTGCGCGGCTCGTGCGCCCGCAGAAGGTTGCATATCGCAGACCTCTATCCGTCCGACCGTATGGTCGCTGAACACCGATGGAGTACGTAGTACGAAAGGGATCGGGAAGGGCAAGGGGCTGAAGGGAAGGTGTGGCTGAGTACGGTTGAGAGAAGGTATCGCAAGTTTTTGAGTCGGAGCCTCGGCTTCAGGAGGCGCAATCAAGCAGGCCGTCGGCCATCGTAGTCGAGCTCTGTGTCCGGACACGTGCTCATGCTTTCGTTGATCGATTTGTAGCGCAGGGAGTCGTGCTTACTGTGGATCGTGGTCGTCTATGTGTGGATCTATGTGTGATGTGTGTACTGAACAGGTCGAGAGGTGACCACCTTCTGCATCGGCAACTTCCAGGGAATAGTTGATAAGTAGCAAGATAGCAAGGAACTGTGCGAGAGCAGGCGCATGACAATCGTGGATAGCGAGTGAGGAGGATAGCAACAGGAAGATACAGGTATATGAAGAACTGGGAGGTTGACAGGCTAATGGTGATGCATTAAGATGAGTGGGGCGAGTTTTTCGTAGTACAGGCAATGTCGTGTGCGATAACAAATGAGGCCGCGATGCAAGAGTGAAAGGTGACCGGTGAAGAACTAGCGTATGTAGGTGATCATGTTATAAGCAAATGTCGCCGCCGCTAAGCACGACTGGCGTGCCAGTGGGTAGGAGTGCCTGGCAGTGCGAGGCAGGACGCGAGGAGGCAGGAGGAGCATGACATTCGCCGGCTTAGTCAGCAGTCCGGTTCGGTCAGCACGTCGCATGTCGTAGTGGAGCTATCATCCTACCACCACCGAGGCAAGCATCACGCCTTCGGTCTGCTTGCCCTAGCCGCTCGACCCTCTCCACCAGCCAGAGGGGTACAGCCAGGGATGGCGCAAGAGATCATCTGCAGAAGCTCTTTCCTCGGGATGCATCCTCAGCGTAGCGGCGAGGAAGTCATGCAGCATTAGGTCGTAGATGCCGTACATGTGCAGGATATCCTCCAGCGTCTGGCGCTGATTAAAGTCGGGGTGGTAACTGAGCTTTAGGAACGGGCTATCATTCCTTGAGTGAGTTATATGCGAAGGTGCCGCGACGATACCGGACGTACATTCCGTTTTCTCCCATAGCATAAAGTTCCTTGAAATGGGCACCATGCTTGAAATGTGCGATGAGATGTAGAGGGTTCTCGTCCTCGATCATCGCGGTTCCGTGTTGCCGAACGAAGAGGGTTTGGTCAGCTGAAAACTCAGTCCCGTTTGACAACTTGAGCGGTTCAGGGTGCAGAGGGAATAGGGTATTGCCAGCAAGGAGCTCGAAGACCTTTGTTTAATCAGACATTTGGGCACCAAATGTGATGATATCACGTACAAGGCAGCCTAAATTCCATATATCGACCTTCGTGTCCCACTTGCAACCGGCGACGACCTCCGGACTACGCAAACCGAACGGTTGAATGGAGCGCGTTCGGTCTCCATGCGCAGGTGTGGCTGTATGCTGTCAGAAAAGCGTATCGGGACCGGGACAATTGAGTGCGAACCTTCGCCAAAATCACCCAACACAACTTCCGAGGCGAGAAGGTCGGGAGACTCCTGGCCAAAAGCGTCAAAGTAGATGTTGTCCGGTTTGACATCTGTTAGGGAACATGAGCAACTGCAACGTGTATACTGTAAGTCAAGCGCACCAGTATGAGCGATGTCGTTCTTATGCAAGGCAGACAGTGCTAGTAGAACGCCGCGTGCGACGTGGCACACGAGATTCACTGGCAGTCTTTTACGAACGAAGGGTGGTTGACGGTTGAAACCAAACTGTATTGTAGCCAAATCAGGTCCGTATGCATCAGTCACCAGGCATAGATGTTCTCCGTGCATGAAGTGATCATGCAGTGGCATAATATTGGGAGCGTCGCGCATCGTCTGCAAGACTTCGAGCTCATGCCGCTCGAGACCCTGTTGCGCGGTAACGTCACTTCGCAGAGCTCTGACTGCCAAGGGGCGGCCCGTATCTGTATGGCTGGTAGAGTCTCAGCCTGGTGCATATAGAACGAAGGACTAGAGTGCATACCTGACGGTCGAGTCTTTCACCAGAAAGATCGACGCCTCCGCCCCCCTCCGCAGCTCTTCAACCTTGGTATAGCGCGCATTGAAGTGACGTTTGAGTACTAATGGACCATTGCCGACTCTCCTCACAACATGAGTATTGAGGTGGTGTCGAAATGCCATCGCCACCTCAGCACTTCGCATAGGAACCGCCAAAGCCCACGGGATCACTCTACTACCCACAGCGGGTAGCAGTACGGATTCTGGATGCTAGTATAATGCAATTGAGATTGAGTTATACTGCTAAGATGAACGGATAGTCGACGTCACGGACGATGGTGGTAGGAATCAAGGCAAGCGCCGCGGCGCGCGAGGCCCAGTCTTGGCTTCCACGGCCATGTACTCATGGTGGTACGCGGCGCGCGCTGCGTGCTGTTTCCCAGACTCTTGAAGATGAATATCTGGATCAGACTGGTACGGATGGAATGCAACGCGGAGTTCAGTGGATGCTGAGGTGACATAAGTACTCGATGCTAAATGATACTCTAGGCAACGCAGCATCCTTCAATACGAGCCAGTGCTTCCGGGGGACAGCGCCTGACTTTCATCAAGCTTGGGGACCTGAGCTCCATCGACGCTCATCGAGAGAGATGCGGTGTAGAATGTATCCTAGGTTCATATGTGGCCTGCCGATTCCCGTATAACTCCATGCTTCTTCGCCTGCTCGTGCAACTTCCTTCGCTCTTCCCCAAACGCCTTCACGAGCTTTTCAGCCTCCAAAGCGTTTGATAGCGCGATCTCGTCGTCATCGGTTCTAGAGACAAACTTGTTACACATCATATCCATCTTGTGCGCCCTAACTCGTGCTACAGCAAGGAATTGGGCCGCCTCACGAAAGTTCGCTGTGGAAGGACTGATACCTTTCCCGTAGCGCTTTCGATAGCGACGAAGCGTGGGACCGCGGTAGGTGACCGCATGCCAGACACACTGTCCAGCGAACACCGCGCAGAGAGGGATGAGGCGGTGCATTGGGCAAGAACGAAGGGGACCTTCTGGCGCCTGAGCTCTTCTGTCAGCACTGATATGCTTCAACAGTGAAGACATGAAACACTCACGGCCGCGGTCTCCGCGCTAGGCCTTGTACTGAATGCGGCTACTTTACTGGATTGAGCGATCGACGCATTGTCTACTTCGTTTTGTGATTCAGGCTCGTAGCGAGAACAAACGAAGCCGGCGATCGCGGCATCCTCGTTGTCTGGATGGCATAGGAAGCAAACCGGCGAATGTCCCTTCTTGTACCCCACGGAAGTTGGTAGTGTGGTGCCCGGAGCTACAACGGCATGATATGCAGGAGGCGCTTCCATAGGCCGCGCCACCACTGACAGTGGGCCATTCGTCCTTGTTATGCTGTAGAGATCGATCGTGAACAAGGCCTACCGAATCAGAGAGTACGAGACGTGGTACTGACGAACAGACCTGCACTGTTCCGGTAGACAAGTCCGCTTGAAGCTGAAGCTGACCCTCACTAGCCGGTGGTAGGTGGGATAGTGTCAAGGCCGTACGCTGACCCGCTGAATCGAAGGTCCAGGTTGGGACGATGTCCATCATGCGAGATCGTGGAATGCAGCGTCAAGTTGTATTGAGCGTGAGGGAGGGCGCGTCGTGCGAGCACAGAGATATGGAAGAAGGCGCAGAACAGGCGTGTCGGTGGGTGATGGGGCGAGCTCTAGACTCTGGATCCGCTGTGGACATCTTATATGCGTGGGCAAGATCCAAAATAGGGGGGTTCGAGACAGCGACAAACGCGCTCAAGCGATGCCGTGTGGGAGCCTAGGACACTGGCCGAAGTACGATTAGTCGATAGAAGCAAGGCGATGCTAATCTCGGTCAAGCAGCGTGTGTTTCCAGCACGTAATGACCCAAGGACAGCTGTCAATGCGTACAGTGCACCATTCTGCGGGTCATTGTCCCAAATAGATCCGTCATACCCGTACCCTTCGTGTAGCAACGGCCATGCCATCTGATATGACTCTAACGCCCAAGGCGGCACGTATACCTGAGCGAATCGGGGACCAGCGCAGTACGGAAAGCACGCCTAGTCCGACGTGCGACATTGACTCGTGGGCACGGTACGTCACCTGTCAATGCTGTGTTGCCTTCTGCTAATCAAACGACTGTTTCAGTAAACACTATATGATTACTATTAGGGCACGAGGGATGCGTTCAATTGGGAATCATGATACATAGAAGAAGCCAGTCCGTTTTCCTCCTACTCCTTCGCCCAAGTGTGCAACGCCTTCAACGCTTTGCTGTGCGCATCGCGCATTTTCTCTATCCAGTCGGCGAAAGCCGCGTCCTTTTCTCCACGAACTTCGAGAGGTCGCCGATCACAAATCTTCTGTACCTCTTCAAGCTTGATACGAGCCTCGTCAAGAAGTCGGGCGGCGCGAATAATCTCATAGTGGCAGAGGTCCTCGATTGTGCCATATCGACCATAGAAGGCGATGAGTTTGCCCTGGCAGGAGAGTATCCCTCTGGCGCACTTCCATGCGAATGAACGATCGTCAACAAATCGACGCCACCAGGAGCGAGGATCGTGTAAAATTGGTTCCGCCTGCCACGGAGCCCGTCAGTCAACATCATGGCATTTGACCAATGAGACAACGGGGCATAAAGTTGTCGAACCCACCTGAGGACCCGGTTCCTGCTTGAGTGCGTCGGATTTCGGGCCATTAGAAGCATCCGTCTCTAACTGTACATTCTCAGAACGAGAATCGTACACAGAGCATACGTGGCGACTCAGACAGGCATGCTCGTCCTGAGGATGACAGATAAAGCAGGTAATTGGGGGGAGCTCGTTGACCATGGTATGCTCCAGTGCGATGGGTGGCCGCGGCGGGTTGGTGGACGCAATCGCGTCATACGCAGGAGGAGCACCCACAGGGTGAGTGCGAGTATTTGGGGAAGTTCTTCTGCTGGAGCTGGAGATACGAGTGTCAGTTCATGTGAAGGACGTTGTACAGGTTCACAGTACGCACGATTGGACATGAATTGCGCCAGTCGAGAAGTCCACCTGCACGCGGGTACGGTTATTACCGGACGCGGCGGCCTGGGAGATGAAAGAGTCGTGCGCTCGCCCGCCGAGCCAGTGGTCCGGGTCCAAACAACGTTCATCTTGGATGGTGCAGGGTGTGATGTGTAGCTCAAGTTGAGTCGACATAGCTAAACTTTATAACTGCTCGTCGTAACAAGAGCGCGGTGGTCGTGCTGGGAACATGACGCTAGCAACAAGGACGCGAAGGCGCGAGTGTCGGGGCCTTGCCCAAGCAGAGAACAAGGCGCGGGAAGGGGAAGCGCCGCTTTGAAGATATTGCGAGCCTATTGTCGACGGTGGGGCTAGAAGCGGTATGGTTCTTGTCTCCTTCGTCTGGGCGGTACATCGCGTAGCACTGGCAGACGTCGACTCTGTGAGAACATATGTGCTTGCGGCATGGGTGAGGACCAGATCTTCCGTGCGACCTTGTGAATTGATCATAACGGGAGAAAATGACTGGTATAGACAAGGGGACCGTATGCAACTTCGGGGGAGATGGTCGTAGGATCCAAAGGCGCGTGGGAGCCCTCAGCCAACGCGAACTCGCGATCCGCGACTGGCCGAATCTCTCGTCTTCGCTTCCACTATGTATCATGCACTCGCCTACACTCGCACGCGCTACAGTACTCGTCATGGCATCTAGAAGATATACATAAATCCCATGAAATCAGACCCTAATCGATACTAAGGAGGATAGGAAATGATGAAGAATTGGGTGCTTCTTCCGATGGCGCATAGAGGTCTATCCCGAGCTCAGCTGCGCGTGTGGTTGCGTGCTCTAGCATGATGGACTTCAACTTCAGTCTCAGATGCGTCTTGATCTCGTCGCGGTGAAGCCTGCGCAAACGGTCGACCTCACGTACGGCCGACTGATGTAGCTTCTCATGCATCTCGTCGAAAGCAGCACGGCGCCCTTTGATCATCTCGACCATCGCCCTATCAGACGATCGCCTGAGGATGTCCGTCCGGTCCTTGTTGCCCAGCTTCTGCATGTCTGACAGAAGGCATTGCGCGACAACCAGGTGCCTGCACACCTCACGGACGCGCGTATCAAGGGCATTAGCGTCGTCTATCTTGTCCCAGTCAGCGTTGCCGCATGCCGCGAGCTCGTGGTCGAAGTCTCTTTGCAGGTTCTTGAGCGGGGTGGAGGATATGTAGTCGATAAGCTGAACAAGCCGTCCCGTACGACGACGTCCCACACCAGGCTGTCCCTTAAGTATTATGTGTACAACGTCAGCGCGCTTGAACTTGAGAAAGTGGGGCCGAGACGCTGACCTGCGCTTCATCTGAACGATCATTCTCGTGCTTGGCGACCTGGCCGTTGACGGTTTCAGCTCCGGAGGTCAAAGGTTCACAAACGTAGCATCGTTGGGAAGGGTATAGGTGCTCCAGATTCGTGTTCGTTACAGAATCCAGGAAGTCATCCATCTGCTTGCGCGTCTCATGTTCATCTCCCGAGAGCATGAGATGGTACTTGGCAGGCTCTGCGCGAGCCCATAGCGCGGCGCTTGGGAGTGCGTGGGTTCACGTCAGGACAACGATGCACGCGAACGAGTGAAGGTACCACTGACATCTCATCGTCGGATGATGTCTCTGGCTGATCGGGAGGCATCCGGGATTGCAGGATGGAAACGCGTTCCGGAGAGGACGGGACTGGGATGGCGATAGCGAGCTCCGGTGCAGTCACCCCTCGCTAGCGTTGGCCCTTATACTGTTGTTTATATCGTTTGAAGAGGCCGTGAGAGGACAAAGGCTGTACTGTGTGAGAGAGGAGTTCGACCCATGACTTCGAGGAATCAATCAATTCGAAGGCACGTAGGTACTTGCGTGTGGTCAGAGCGGCAGAAGTACGGTTTCGACACATCGTGGGCACTCAGCTTCACACGTTACACCCGAGAGCAGGCGAGTTACGGGGCAAACAACTTCGCTACACTCACTAGGTCTACCGAGCGGATGATGGTTTGAAGATGATCATGATCAATGTTCAATCGGCTACTTGTAATAACGAGTTTCACAGGCTGGGCTCGCACTGACGGATGGGCCCGGGGTATCGTGGACGGAAGAATACATGAAAGAGACAAGGGGCCAACACACAGTGAATCCGACGGACTACATCTCGAGATAGAGGCCTGGACCTGGTTCTGGGAATGCGCGAAGTACTTGGAGCAAGAAGGGTGGCGGATGTTGTAGCGCAAAGCGACCCGTCTCAGATATGTGCGAAGCCTCTATGACGGTATCAGCATCGAATATACTACGGAGCCAACCCAGACACGAACCGTCAGTTCTTCTTCAAGCTTGCTAGATCGGCATGCCCCGACACTGCACGCTCCGCCCGCTCATGCAGCTCCTTCAGCATCGTATTGCGCTCCTCGAGCATCTTCTTCACTCGCCCAGCGCATATCTGATCCATTCCGGAAGAGTGAAGCCAGCGCTCGTCTTTCAAGATCGCCTCGGCATCATCCGCATCCAGTCTGACCTGGGCGAGCAGCTTGGCGGCTTTCTGAAGTTCCGAGTTTGATAGGCCCGTCTTTCGCGAGTAGATCTTACAACATGACTGCATACGGGTTTTGTCGCCGCCCGTACACTTGGAAACCTTCCAGTTGATGGACATCGCGGTCCCGAAGTGACTCCAGGGACCGCAAGTATCCTGACAGATAGTCTTCTGAGGTCTCTGGTAAGTACAACTTCCTTGTAGGGGTAATAGAAGCCATGTATTCACCGGCGCCTCCTTCGTCGAACCGGGTTCGGCTGCGTCACTTCCATGACCGGTCGACCCCTCCTTCACATCGAAGCGAGAGCATACGGAACCGGCGTTGATCGCGGCCTGATTGTCAGGATGACAGATGAAGCAGAGTGGCGGAGGTCGCTTCTGGTAAGCTGGAGGTATCTGAGCCACGGGGCTTGCTGGGCTTGAGGCTTCATGCGCTGTTGCCGTGTACGCGGGAGGAGCGTCCAAGGAATGCGCCTCCGACATCATACTACCAGCGCTCGTCACACTGGTGAGAGATACATCAGCAAGAGCAGCGCGTTGAATAGCCATATGTTGAATAGCAACGCACGTGCGAAGGTTGTGCGAGCCGTTCTCGAGGTTCGCCCGCTGAGCTGAAGGTACGCGGGCGATTGACGAAGTTGCGCACTGCCCGGCCATGTCGGTAGTCTGCATGCAAGCATGCAGAGAAAGAGAAAGAGGTAGAGCGGCGGAGGCGACATCAAGGAGATGCTGTCTGTCATCTGAGCAGGTCCAAGTCAAGTGGCGGTGCGGTTCAAGTCACGGATACAGTACCGTATGACTTGGCGCCGTCATCACGGCCTTGGGCGGGCACCGTTTGATGTCGAGATGTACTTTCTCATCCGCAAGCATGCATGTCTCACGTTCACTAATGGCTAGCGGCAGTCCCTCTCGTAGGCTTATATGTAACTCGGGCACTCTGAGAGGGAACCTGACACTACTCGCGTCACGATCAGATACTGCGTTGTATCTGTGTGGCTTTGTGCTCTCTTAGTAGTTAGCTCACGTAGCCCGTATCAGGCCTCAATGCTCTAAGTCCATGATTGATTGAGTCGCAAACGAGTAGCACTTCAAGATGATGGTTCAAACGTTCAAGTCCGATGGTGTATAGTGGGATAGACCCTGAGCAAGGGCGACGATGATGGTGTCTCGACGCGGCGTAGCTAATCGATCGTCGTCGCTGGTTGAGCCTGTCGCGAAAATATTAGCATTCAGACAGTCATAGACAGTGGCGCGTGGTAGCCATCGAGCAACATACCATCAGCTCTTTCCTGAACTCGTTCCCCCCGGGTGCTCTGATCCTATCTCCCTCGCTACCTCATGCAAGTCCTTCAACATCTTCTTGCGCTTCTGGTCCATGTCTTGCACATCTTTAGTACACTCTTCGTGCATGAGGACAGACTTGAGGTAACGTTCAATGCGCAAAACCGCCTCCGCATCGTCTGTCCTACGCCGTACCCAGAAAAGCAAATTGGCGGCCTTCTGAATGTCTACAGTGGATAGGCCCGTTCTCGGCACGGTTCTGAAGGTAAATATACCTGCCCTTTTCCTGTAGATCTTTCGAGACAAGCCCATCCAGTAGTCACCGTCGCCTATGCACTTGGCTACCTGCCAGTTGAGTGAGTTGAAGTCCATGAACCGGCGATAGATGGAGCGGGTGTCCTGGGGATCTCTTGTTCTCTACATCCGTGATTAGCGGCAAACGTCTGCAGAAGTCGCTGAAGCTACTCACCGGTGCGCGCTTCCTTGAAGTAGAGTTAGCTGGGTCGCTTCCACAACCGTTCGATGCCTCTTCCGCCTTAATCGCAATGCCAGCGTCGTAGTCGGAACATACAAAGCCGGCCTTGAATGCGTCTTTATTGTGTGGATGGCAAACGAAGCAGACAGGCGAAGGTTGCTCGTGAGGCTTTGGGGATACCTGGGGTACGGACGGCGCCAGGTCGGAGGCCTCATTTGAAGTTGCCTTGTACGCGGGAGGAGCATCTGAAGGAGATGGCGCTGATAATGCCGTACTGCCTGAACTTGCAACGCTATCGAGAAGAATGGCGGTGAGGAGAGCGCACGAAGGGGTCCCAGGCGAGTGACACGTACGTGCGAATGTAAACCGAACCATTTTCGAGGTTCACCCGCACGTTGACGCAGCCCTCGTGAGGTATAGGTATCGATAACGTCGCGTGTTGCCCCGTCTCGTCCGTGGTTTCAGTGAAGACAACGCTCATTGCGAGAGTAGGCGGTGAACAAAGGGGAGAGAGCGGTGCGAATTGAAGGGTGGCGAAAGGAGCGCGACGGGCTATCGGCGAGTGGTATGATTTGCTCTGGTGTATCCCTGGGCGTCTTATATATGCCAACGCTCTGAGAGTTAAGGTCACGGAGAACTGGCAACAGCCCGAGAGCGATGCAGCGTGAGAGCCTAGGACACCGACCGAAGTACATAGCGTAGCGATGCAGGCCGTTTCTTTCTGACATTCCTGTCTTCTGCACGTAACGAGCCACGAGTTTACACAGCCGCACAAGGGCTTGCAATGGTGGAGATTTGCGCTTGAGGGACCCAGCATGTCTTTTCCGAAGGCTGCACCGTCTGATCTTTGCTGAGCGCCCTAGAGTTTCCTATAGGAAGCCAGGTTGCATCTTTCATAAAGCTCTGCAAGTCATTCGCTGTCATTCGGCGTATCGCTTCGCTGATGCGCCCGTCCCCTGAGCCCGCTAGAAGAAGTTCATGGGTGTACGGGTAGCCATTGGAGGATAGATAGAAGAGCGCATAGGAATGCTTCTCGCACTGTGCTGTCGTAGTCGAGGGTGCTACTTGAGTAATGGATCGTCTGGGTGTTGGTTCAACTCAAGTCCAAGCGGGCGTTCGCCGCGCCGCCGCCATCACGGACTTGCCCGCGCCTCGTGGTGGGACGGCGAGTCGCGTGCAAACTTCTCTTCTGTCCACCATGTCATCTGCTCCGCCTCAATGGACTCAGATCTTCCCAAACACCTGAGCGTCAGCCCTCCGCACTAAAATGCGGCATTTCCACAGATGAGCTGTGCTGAAGCGCGGGCATGGAAGAGGTGGACGTCCAAGTGAGTGCCTCTCCTTTTTTTCTCTCTTCGGCCTGGTTCTTCTTCGTGCATATGATATAATATATTCAGAATCGCACCGAGTCTCTCGACACTGAGCGACACTTTATACAACAGTCTGATGTTCCCATACCTCGTCTGCCATTTGGATTTCAAACCGATCTGACCACTTCATGCACAGATGCGCTCACACCATTCACCCGCGCCTTTGCGTTGCTCAAGATGGCCCAGTCGCCAGATGAACTCATCGCAGACGACTGCGCGAAGAAGAGCTGCCGACGTGGGAGGAGGACTATTCTCTGGTGAGTTCCTCGCATCCTCGAAGTCGGTCTCCACCTCCACCTTCCTATGATGTTTCAATCATAATTAGACTGCGAACCCACATGTGCGAAACCTAACAGTCAACTTATATATCTTCTGAGCTCTCCCTCATGTACATCTCATACCGCGCTTGAACCAGTCACTGACTCTTCGCTCTTTTTCCCGCAGATAGCCAGCACCGCGCGAGGCGCACTCTCCTTCGAACACGGCGCCTGGCGACTTCTCGCCACGTTCTCAACGCCCAGGCTACCCAATGCGCTCAGCAATGCGATGGAGCTTGCGGCCAGCGGCAGACGAGCGCCCGTGCTTCCCGGGCGAGATCGCCGACTCGCAATTTCCGGCCTCCATGCTCATCAGGATGACGACTGGAAACCTGCTTCGCGAAGTGGGAGTTCGATGTTGGTCTGAGTGAGCGATAAGGCTCGGTGTTTGTTCATACGTAGCGTAGCCCCTGCATGCATGTATATCGTAGAAATTTCTGGATACCAAGCGTTCAATGATAGTACGTTGGTTTGCTCATAACAAGCGCGAAGCTCCTGTGAGACGCTGCGTGGCATTAACAGCCGGTACCAACTACAGACGGTGTGGACAGCATGGAACATAGCTTATGGGGGAGTTGGTGCTGTATGTTGGGCTTAGCGCTCCCGATACGACGGTTCAAACTGAGTTTATCGCCTCTAAGAGCTCTGTGCGTCAACAGTAACTCAATACAGGTATCTGGCAAGATCCCCAAGAAGAAAGTCAACAATTCATCCCGTATTGTAACGCGCAAGTACATAGTACAGAACGCACACACAATATGTATTCGATCCATCCAATTCCACATCCACCCTTCCGCATTCGCCAACCCCGCCCTACTCCTCCTCAACCCCATCATTCAACACATTCAACCCCGCGACAATCCTCTGCGCCAGCGCGCTGAGGTTCGCATCCGCCATGATCACAGCAGGCGCGAGCTCGAGCCCGAACATGGCCGCCGCGGCCTTGCTTATCCGCACGGCCTGCGCCTTGTCCCAGAACCGGAAGTCGTCCGGGTCGCGCCCTTCGTCTGCCTCTGCCTCCCCTTCCCCTTCTCCCTCAACCTCTCCTTGTTCTTTGCCGTCATCCGTTTCGCCTGAGTTGTCGGAGGCTTGGCTGAGAGGGGAACGAGCGCGGGCGCGGGCGGAGTCGGGAAGTGTGGATAAGGGTACAAGTCGGGGATCTTGGTCGAGGCACAGCGGCACGACGCGCGCGAGGGCGCCGCGCACGCTGGCAAAGTCGCGCGTCGCGGGGCGCGCGGCGTAGATCTCGAGGGGCCCGTCGTGTGCGAGGACGTTGTATTTGCCGTCGTGGTGGTACCGGATCTGTGTGGGGCGAGTGTCAGCGAGTGCCAACGTCCGTGGCTCAGGAGAGGTAGAGATGGAAGGAGGGTAGGAGTCAAACAACGCACCTCATATACCCCCACACTCCACGGCAACGTCCCGCCGCTAAACACGACTTTCCCGCTGCCCGTCCTTTCGCGCTCGCGCTTGGGCTCGATCGGGACGTCGCCGTCCCACTCGGCGCCGTGCACGGGCACCCAGCAGCCGAGCGAGCTCGTGCGCGTTATGAGCGTCGAGGCGTTCGCGCCGACCTGCGGATACGAACATAGGTGAGTTGTTGATCATAGGTGAGTTGGTGGATATAGGTGAGTTGGTGGTGGAGAGAGGAGGGAGAGAGGGGAGGGACGTACACGGTATATCCCGACCCAATCTTTGCGACTATGTCCCATAGGCGCGTCCCACTTCACCTCGATCGGCTCGCCGATGTGGTACCGCTTCTTGTCCGCCTGTGCACCAGCCCCAATCAGCATCCCAACACCATTTCCCGCGTATCACACCAGGGGGGAAGGGGGGAACGCACCTGGATGCGATACCGCTCGGTCGTGGGCAACGTGCTCGGGCTCGCCGTGCGCGCGATCACGAGCCGCTCGCGGCCGGACTGGAAGAGCGTGCGGGTGTCTTGGACGACTTCTTCGAGTTTGGGGCGCGCTGGGGTTGTGTCAGCACATCCGTCTCCTACACCCACCGACCATGCCGATCGAGATGAAGTAGCGGGAAGAAGATGGGGGGAGAGCAGGGAGAGGGGAGAGGGTGGGAGTGCGTGGCAGAGGACGAAGGGGACGCACCACGATCGATAAACTCCTCGATCGCCTCGCCCGCCTCGTCGAACGCGCGGTCGAGCGTGCGCACGAGCCGGGAGCGCGTCACGGCGCGCGCGAGGGCTGCTTGGCCGACGACCTGCGAGTATAATGCATAGGTGAGATTGAGAGGGTTTAGGGAAGAGGGGAATGTACCTTCTGGAACCCGGCTTCGCGCCTGAGCTGTTCGCCGTAGAGTTTCTTCATATGTGGACTACATTCCCAAACCCACTCATCAGCATACACTCCTCCCTCTCTTCACACAACACAAAGAGAATAATACAAAGAGCAAGCGAGAGAGAAAGAGAAAGAGCAAGAGCAAGAGAAAAAAACGCACTTCTCCACACACCGCAAGAACCACCAATACGCCGCGGTCCTGACGCCCGCGAGCGCGAACACGAGCTTGGAGCCGGAGACGAGCGCGAGGCCGAAGAAGGCCGCGCCCGAGAGGATCTCGGGGTTGTTGAGGTATCTGGACTTTCATCAGCCCTCTTCCTCTTGTGTATCATGGGGAGTTGTGTATCATGGGGAGGTGATAGGGATGGTTGGTGAATGGGGAGGGAAGGAAGAGAGAAGCGCACCGGTAGATCCCCGAATAGTCCAGCTCGCGCGCCCAGCCGTCGAGGAAGAAGTCGCCGTAGAACCAGCCGAAGGGGCCGAGGACGTCGTACGTCTCTCTGCTCACCTGCACCGCGCGTCAGCACTTCCCATTCCATTATGCGTGTATCAGTGAGAGGGGGGCAGCAGGGGAGGGCGGGAAGGAGGGAGGGAAGGAGCCGAGAGGGAGGGGTGAGAGAGGATGAGGGAGGAGAGAACGCACCCACGCATGCAACGCGACAAGCGCCGCGCCCAGCAGATGCCTCAGCAGCGCGTCGCCCGACGTCCACGAGTCGGGCACGGCGTACGTCGCGTACGTCAGTGCGCCGGCCGATACTGCACAACGTCATCGTCAGCTCTTCTCTTCTTACTCTCACTATCACGATGGAATAAAGAGAGGGATGAGATGGGTGAGTGAGGGTGAGGGTGAAGAGGAATGGGAAGGGAGGCAGAGGAGAAGGATGGGACAGGGAGGGAGAGAGGGCATACCGAACGTCATGCACAAACACGCGTTGTAGCCCGCCTTCCAGCTCCCGAACGCCTCGCGGACCGCGCCGCCCGCCGCGTCGCGCTGCGGGTAGTGGTAGTGCGTGAGGAAGTGGCGCGTGAGGAATCTATTCACTGCATCAGCATTCTTTTCTCCTTACGCAGCACTCAGGAAAGGAAGATGAGAGGGAGGAAGGGGATAAGGGAGGATGAAGGAAGGAGAGGGAGAACGGCAGAGGGAGGGAGAAAGAGAGGGAAAGGAGAGAGACGCACTTGGACCGGCTCTGCGCCCTCAACACGAGCCCCAAACCCACAACATGCACGCCCGTCCAGAACAGCGCGTGCGCGAAGAGGACGCCGGGCATGATGTGTGCGGGTACGAGGTGCGTGAGCGGTAGCGCTGACGCGTACACCAGCGTTAGTAGCAAAAGTAAGTCTTGTGCGCTGTAAAGGTATATCTCGTGTTAGCGTGGGG